CATACCCCGTCTTCACGGCCGAATCAAAGCGAGCTGCATATCCCGTCTTCACGGCCGAATCAGAGCGAGCAGCATATCCCGTCTTCACGGACGAATCAAAGCGAGCAGCATATCCTGTCTTCACGGCCGAATCAAAGTGAGCAGCATGTCCTGTCTTCACGGCCGAATCAAAGCGAGCAGCATATCCTGTCTTCACGGCCGAATCAAAATGAGCAGCGGTCTGAAAGGGATAATGGTCTGAAAGTGAGTAGCTTCTCAAATAGAATTATTGACCAGATGAGGAGTAAGACTTTGACACCTTCATCTGGGCTTCAGGGTTCCCCCTTTAAGCCTGTATTGAAGGGTAAAAGGGTTACCTACCAAGGTTCACACGAGCAGATCCAAGTTCAAGCTAATGCAAGACCCAGAGCCCCTATGGATAAGATCCCTAAGATTCCTAGCTCAACACACGATTCTGTGGCCAGATTGGATGGTACACCTTTCAGCAGTGGTGGAAATGTTTCCGAATCTCAGTATGAGGGAACAAGCCTGAGGGAACTAATTAAGCCCGCACGCCAAGCAATGAGCAAGTTTGAGAAAATGCAGTTGTTTAAGCAGATCCTTGATCATGTAGACAAATCCCATGCACAGGGTGTAACCTTACAGCATTTGCGCCCGTCGTATTTTATACTTTCATCCCCAAACCAAGTAAGATATACCGGTTCTTACACTAAACAAGATTTATCAACCCCAGCCAAACTGGATATGGCCGCAGATGATGTTTTTAACAGAAAACGATGCTTCGATCAGAAAACTTTGCACCAAGAGTGTAATGGCAATGGACATTCAATCCTGAAGTATCAGAAGGTTGGTGAACAAGGTTCTGCTGCCGTCAGGAGACCGATACATCCCTTCCGGACTGACCACAAAGGGGCCAACCAAAGTGAAGGTGCTGATCTAGGTGCTTCAGGACAGGGAAATTCTAGTTGCACCGTCGGAGGTCGTTCTAAGTTTGGCGAACCTTACTATGGTGGTAATGCATCTTATGGCCAACGTTTTCCTAATTATGGCAACCAAGAATCAGTACTTGAATTGAGGATGCTAGAAGATAGCTGGTACAGAAGCCCGGAAGAGCTCAATCAAGTGAAAGGCACATCCCCATCCAACATCTACAGCCTTGGGGTTCTTTTATTTGAGGTATGTTAATTACTTTCATGACATGTCATGAAATAGATTTGTAATGGGTTCTCTAAAGTCTAAGCACTTTGAATGCTCATAGAGGTGAAGTGACATTGTGAGAATACTATTTGTTTGCACCTCAAGAAGTCATTTTGTGGATGGTTTTACTATATCAATCTAAGTCATGTGGTTCTAATTATGCAATCTACTTATGAGATATCGACCTTTTCACACTTGTATATCATAGTGTTTCCTGCTTAATAAAAAACAGAACCGGCTGGCCTGCTATTTTATGTTGTTCAACAGCAGTCTGATTGCTGAAAGCATCTGTTGCTATATTCGTATAATCTAATTGAGTAGTGCAATTTATGTCTGAGATCATGGAATAATCTTGTTGCTTGACATGGTATTTTGGCATTACCTGCTTATCTTAGGCTGTATGAAAAGGCAGATGACTATCCTTTTTAGCCTTGCTCACCTTATATACTCAGTGTTACAGCATATTCCTCTAGGAGCTAACACATGCATCATAAACAACTGGATCCGCCTTTTACTGGAAATTTCATTTGAGTTCAGTAGCTTTTCTTGTTTACATGTAATTCTACAGATTCTATCTTCAGATGGTTAAGGTATTGAACAAGTTTATTTTTCTTACCAGCTCTTTTGCTGTTGTGAAACATGGGAGCTGCATTGTGCTGCAATGTCAGATCTTCGCCACCGGATCCTGCCTCCAATTTTTCTTTCAGAAAGTCCCAAGGAGGCTGGCTTCTGCCTTTGGCTATTGCATCCGGATCCTTTTTCTCGACCAAAAGCAAGGTGGGCATACTCAATCTCTCCTCAGCTCAAAAAGGCATTGTCTTACTGATTAAGTGGATAAAATCAGACGTTCATTTAGTTCTATTCCGATGAATGATTGTAGTTACATTTGAGTTAAAGGAAGAGCTCCCGTGGCATGGTTATTTCAATGTGTAATGAAGAACTGATTATTCCCTAACATGTCCATTACCTTTGTTTGCTTCTGGTGATCTGGTCCCATATATGTACCTGTAGGACAACTATTTCTCTAATTCTACTTTCTAGAGATCTGTTCATATAATTATAGAGTGAATTTGTGGGTTTTGTTAATGTTAAGTTATTGCTTTCATGAAGGAACAACTACATGTAGATGCGTTGTTCTGATATATCAGGAATCCTTTATCTGTAGATCACACACAAAGATTTAGCAGTAATTCCTTTTGTATGTGTAAGATGACAAGTCTTTGCCACCTGCAAACTGGGGAAAATAGTTCCACGTCAATTTATACCTTACAGCATTTTTTCTTTTTGTCAGAGACATTCTAGGATGTGACTTGATAAATGAGGGTCGGGATTTATCGGTGTTAGATAAGGCACCAGCTGCTATCAATGAGGAGGACACAGAGTCTGGTTTGTTACTGAATTTTCTGTCTCAACTGAAAGAAGAAAAGGAGATGCATGCTGCCAAGTTATCAGCAGATCTTGCAAGCTTGCAGACTGATATTGTAGAGGCTGAGAGAAGACACTCGTTTAGGATGGGGTTCAGTTTAGAGGACATGGATGTACCAGCAAGTTCTAATGATGTGCCAGGTACTTCATCAAATGCCCTGAGAGGGGCATTGTTGTCAGGAGGCAGGTCAGGCATATACGAGGAGAGGGTGATGAAGAATTTGCAGCAGCTTGAAAATGCATATTACTCCACGAGGTCCACCATTGACACATCTGAGACTAATGTAATTAAGCGTTCCGATAATGATGCTTTGAGGGTCCGTGAAAACTTTAACCACAGTGATGCCGATGCTATGAATGGGCCAACAGACCGCCTTGGATGCTTTTTTGATGGTCTATGCAAATATGCCCGGCATAGTAGGTTTGAAGTACGAGGGATTTTGAAGAATGCTGATATACTTAACTCTCCAAATGTGATCTGTTCTTTAAGTTTTGACCGTGATGAAGAATATTTTGCTGCTGCTGGGGTTTCAAAGAAAATTAAAATATTCGAATTCGATGCTCTTTTAAATGATCGTGTTGATATTCATTATCCTATAGTAGAGATGCCTAGCAAGTCCAAGCTTAGTTGTGTCTGTTGGAACAACTATATAAAGAACTACCTGGCATCAACAGACTATGATGGCACTGTTCAGGTACGTATCTAATGGATGTGCTGTGCCATTATATGTTTCCCAAGATACTCACCACATGTTTTCTTTTTCCTTATCTGTAAGTATAACTTATCTGCTATGATCAAGTTGGCATACTTCCTTCCTTCATTCGTTGCAGTTCTTTTACCTACCTTTGTTGTAGTGGCATCATTTATCTGATTCTGAGCTTTATATGCATATCTTGGATAATTTGATTATCTGATTCTGAGCTTTATATGCATATCTTGGATAATTTGGTGTTTTGTTATTATTTAAGTACCAACTGCGTACTTCTGGATCTAGCATAGTACTGATTGGTATGTAATGTTCTATTGATTTGGGCACCATATCTTGATAGTAGTTTCAGTTGTGGGACAAGACAATTTGTTGCCTGCCGTGCCCAAATTTTATGTTTGGGATTGTTTCTTTGTTAGCATTATGATTATGAGTTGGGAGGGACAGCACAAACTATTCCGTTATTGAAGCAAAGTACTTAAGGTTGAATCAGTGAGCTTCGCCTGGAAACAGTAAAGTGAATTGCTGTTTGAGGATAAGCATCATTTCCTTGTTGAGTTTTACCTGAAAAGCTTTAGCTGTTTAGAAAGCATGGACAATCTATTGATACTTCAACAATAAAGTTGTATCTGCATTCATATCCTGAAAAACTTAGTAGTACTGATTTTGCATCAACATTCAATAGTGCGTACACGTTTCGGTATAAAAAGCACTTGTGCCCGTCGAAATATTTTCCACTAACTGCTAATATTTTCTCACAGTTGTCATTGCTCATTTGTTTCTTTCGGTACTGTGGCGATTCATTCCTTCTTTTATGCTTTACCTGGAAATGCACCACACATTTTTACTTTACTTTTGCCATTGGTTTAATTTTCACCGTGGAATGCAGCTATGGGATGCAAGCACTGGCCAAGGATTCACACAGTTTACAGAGCATCGGAAAAGAGCTTGGTCTGTGAGTTTCTCAGAGGTGGATCCAACTAAATTGGCAAGTGGGAGTGACGATTGTTGTGTGAAAGTTTGGAATATTAACCAGGTATGTTATTTAACTCCATAACTTGTTCTGCTCCAATTTCAACAGGGTAGTCTTAATTAGAGTCTGGTATTTCAAACGTTCTGCTATGTTACCCTATGCTTATAGTGATCTGGAGTTAAGTATGCCACATAAAAAAGGGCTGCAGATGAAGAAATATCAAGCTCTTAAGTTGTTCCTATGTGGATTGGTCTCGTGTCCCTATCTGAAATACCATAGTAGTAGTCCAGACCTTACTGGGCTGGGTTTAGGGATGCAGAATGGCGCCCGATCCGCCCCCCTCTGTAGTCAAAATAGACCGGGTTAGTTGTAGCATTTTCTTTTTGGCGATTTAGTTTAGTTCAAGTTAACTCCCTGCTTTTGCGGGCTTATGCGGGATACCGCTCTGTATCCCTAGCTGGGCTGGCTAAAAGCTCATAAATGCAAGTTGGGCTAAGCTGTGCCCAATCCAAGACTCATTCAGTTTCCCCCTAACAACGATTGATGGCCCTGCCTTTCAGAAGAACCAGCCAAATTAACTTTGAACACTCGAGCAAGTGCAATTAACTTCTGTTCTTTTGACCATTGCTAAGAAGCAACAGTCACCATGCCTTCAGTTACAAACTTTGGTCTTGCTTTTTGATTTGCTCTTTCCATATTCTGAATACATTTTCATGTTCCTGATACCATTTTCTCTAATTAAAGTTATGTCTTGTTGCTGATACCAGAAAAATAGCGTGGACACAATAAGAAATGTGGCCAATGTATGCTGTGTACAGTTCTCGCCATACTCCTCTCGTATGTTAGCCTTTGGCTCAGCTGATTACAAGACATACTGTTATGATCTGAGGCATACAAGGATCCCCTGGTGTACCATTTCTGGACACGGGAAAGCTGTCAGCTATGTAAGATTCTTGGATGCAGAAACGCTTATATCTGCCTCAACTGACAATACCTTGAAGATATGGGATCTCAACCGGACTAATCCTAATGGATTATCTACTAATGCTTGCAGTCTGACTTTGAGTGGTCATACCAACGAGAAGGTATAAACGGCTTACTGAATTATTTGCTTTCTCCCTTTTGGTAACCATTTTTGGAATTGGTGTGTAATCAACCTCATTTTCTCATGCAGAATTTTGTAGGCTTATCCGTTCACGATGGATACATAACGTGCGGTTCTGAAAACAATGAAGTGAGTATTATATTTAATGCATATATTTGGCTTGTCATGCTGGCACTGCACTTTGTTTAATCAAGACACTGTTAAGCATATTGAGTTCTCTTGGGTGGAAACACTTTTTTGGAGCAGCCAATGTTATGCAAATTGATGCCCTGAGGAAAATATAATTTTCCATTATTGTGACAGTTCTCATGTACCTTGTTCCCACACACAAAAAGAAGATCTCACCCTCCCCTTGGCCCTGCTAACTTCATACATTTATTGCCTCATTCCTCCAACCTAATTAGTTAACCATCAAACCTCTAGTGCCAATGCTATTACACTTACTCTGCAACACCTAAATTTAGGTGATATATTTGTTGTTCAGGATGATGAGGTTAGATTATGCTACCTTGATGGTAACTTGGGAAATCTCGTGTATTTATTAGGAACCATCAATCATGAAAACTTCAGAATCCGAACTCATTTCACAACTTCATATTTCTGGCGGGTGAATTGTGAAGCGTGCTATTAATATACTCCCTCCGTCCCAAAATAAGTGACTCAAAACTTACTCAACTTTGTACTAACATTAGTACAAAGTTGAGTCATTTTTGAGTCACTTATTTTAGGACGGAGGGAGTACTATTTAGTGGAAGATCTCATTACTAGTTGGTTTGCAGGTATATTCTTACTATAAAAGCTTTCCCATGCCAATAACTTCTCACAAGTTTGGTTCAATCGATCCAATAACCGGACAAGAGACCAATGATGATAATCAGCAGTTTGTGTCGAGCGTTTGCTGGAGAGGAAGGTCGAATATGGTGGTGGCTGCCAACTCTAGTGGAAGCATCAAAGTCCTTGAGCTTGTTTGAATGATCCGTTGAGCAAGTTACAGGATGAGAGTATCTGAATGGCCGTGATTGCCATGTTTCTTTGCTGACCATATGTTTCCTCGAGCGTTCTTCCTTGCCAACAAACAACTATTATGCATCAACACATGTCGAGGCCGGGCAACAAAGCGGTGGAAACACACTTGCGCACTTCAAGCAACACACAACCCTGGCCGTTGATGTTCGCTTGAAACTCCCAATGAAGTGTGCAACTGGAGGGAGTGAAAGGCCTCGGCTACTCTGAAAGGTAAACTTTGTAAGGCGCTTTGACATAGTACTAGTCCGCATTTCAGCGAGGGCCTAGGGCTAGGTTTCTGTACAGATTTATGTATGGGCTTCCAGGGCCGCGTATTTACTTTTGAGCTAGAGCCTTACATGCTATGTTGGCCCGATCCGGTCCGCATCTCACGGGAATCGACGCAGTTTTGATGTGCAACGACTAACAGTCTAGTATGACGGTCAAAGCAAAGCTGCGGAAGGTGACATTGTTGTCTGAAGGAGTTGATCACGCATCCTGATCTGTGCGAGTGATGCAACGAGGGTTTGTCTATGCCTACTATTTTTTGTAGTCCCCTTATTTGAATGAATAGAGTAATATATATGAATATATATGATTACTGTATATAACAATATACCTTCCCGAGTTCAGAAATTGCCACGTCGAAGGGAAGAAAAACGAATGAACGATTTGGGCAGGGAATGCAAGTCTATGTATGGGTGTTGGTTGTTGTTGATAGTTGTGTAACTCGTACGCTTCTGTCTTCTGCGACCGACAAAAACCTATTTCTGTCATATATGTTGTGATTTCCTTTGATAACAGTATCTTAGGCCCTGTTTGGAGAACCTCCACTCCCGGAGCAGATGGAGTTACTGTTGAAAGTCGCGGAGCGCGAGTCGATCATATGGCCAATTCATTAGTTTGTTCTGCGGAGAAGCATAATGACGTCGGTATCTAAACGGCGGCGAATGCTGCAATCGTTTCTGAAAACCAATGAGACTAGTATGGATTGATAAGCCCATACGTTTGTTGCCGACACAATCTAAGGGCAAACAAAGAGAAACGAGGTTCAGTTTAAGTACCCTCTTGGTGTAGTTTTCAGATTGCAGTACTGTATTTCTTTTTAGAAGTTGCGGGACTCCGATTCGCTAAAAAGGTAACAGAGAGTCTAAAAAGAGACTTGGATAACCACGAGGCCCGCACACGACGCCTATGAGAGGGCGGGGGTTGCCTACAATGTCATCACTTTTGCTCAGGCAAGCGACTTAGAGCAAGTACAATAGAGCTGAGTCAGCTGGCTATAAGAAATAAACTAGTATATTCTTGCTTAGTTGAAGGAAAGAGAAGAAGAGAGAGAAGGGAAGCGGGCTCTTGGTGAAGAGTCGGCTCTAGCACGTGCTCCTAGACACTTTGTGAGAGTGAAAGGTGGGCCATATAATAAAAAAAATAGTACACTCTTCTAATCAACTATTGTACATATTGGCTATAAGATGGATTATAGATGACATGACAATGACTTATAGCCAGCAGTTGGCTATACTATTAACCATGCTCTTAAGAGAAAACCTGTTCTCGATCTGAATAAATTGCGGTACTCATAGAAGGAGTAATATCATACTAGTATATTTTAGTAGTACTACAATGCGTCGCCCTATTCTCCGTCCTCAGTTTTTCCCCGTCTCGTCTTTTATATATGTTGCCTTGTGAAAGAAAAATCCTGCAGCAATTTACAGTATTAAAATGAAAATAAAAGCGATAAGAAACACTCTTCACAGGGATAAGAGACAAATAACAACGTGTACAAATGACATTCCAATTATACCTGTCTCCTTAGAACCTCTGGGCTATCCAAACATAGCACAAGCACAGGGTACACTCAATTTTTTCGTGTTGCTACAAAAGCTATGCATAAACACAAGCCAATATTAGGGAAGAGTGACAGGAACCGGTAACAAAAATAGGCAGCTGCCCATGGATAGATTCAAGTGTCTCTTCCCCCACGAGGCCTCCTAGCTAGCCACCACCATTGCAATCTTTTCCTCCACGCAGGGGAGGAAGAAGAAGCAGCAGCTGGATTAACCGGATCAACTGAGGAAGGAAGAGCCGTCGAGAGCGATGGCGAGCAAGGCCCACCTCTCCTTCCTGCTCCTCGCGGTCGTCGCGGCCTCCCTCGCCGGCCCGTCCGCCGGCATTTTCCACATCGTCGGCGCCGGCAAGGGGTGGCGCATCGCCCCCAACCAGACCTACTACGCCGACTGGGCCCGCACCAGGGACATCCACGTCGGCGACAAGCTCAGTAAGTTTGCTCGCTAGCTAGTATACGTAGTTCGTTGTTCGCTCCCCTTCTTCTCCTCGCCGCCGGCCGGCCGGCCGGACGTTCTTGACGTGGCCGCCGGCGTGGGTGCACGCAGTGTTCCTGTACCGGAGCGGGGTGTACGACATCGTGCAGGTGCCGACCAAGGAGCTGTTCGACGCGTGCAGCATGGACAACGTCACCATGCGGTACCAGCTCGGCCCCACCATCATCAAGCTCGACACGCCCGGCCCGCGCTACTACTTCTGCGGCGTCGGCGAGCACTGCGAGGGGGGCCAGAAGGTCGCCGTCAACGTCTCCGGCGACCCCGCCGCCCCCGCCCCCGCCACCGCCACCGCCACCGCCACCGCCGCCGCCGCCACCGCCGCCACCGCCGCCGAGGCGCCCGCCGCAGCGGCGCTGCCGCCGGCGGCGCCGATAGAGCTGGGGGAGGCCGCGCTGGCGTCGTCCATGGCGCAGGCGGAGGCCGAGCAGGCGTCGTCGACGGCGCAGGACGAGGCCGCGACGGCGCAGGCGGAGGCCGCGCAGGCGTCGTCGACGGCGCAGGCGGAGGCCGCTGAGCCGTCGTCGATGGAGCAGGTGGAGCCCACGCAGGCGTCGTCGACGGCGCAGGAGGAGCTCGCGCAGGCGTCGACGATGGAGGTGGACCCCGCGAAGCTTGTGGACGCCAAGAAGAAACTATAGGGAACATGTATGGCATGCGTATACTATGTATTTACCCAGTATGCATCTTTGCCGCACAAGTACAATAGCCCTCGATCTGGGCTTGGATCGATGTATTTTCATTTTTCATTTTTTGGGGTCGATGTATTTACGCTCATACTAAGCCACGGCGCAATTGGATCGTATGTATGTACATCGGCTTGGTGTAGGTACGTACGTACATACAAGGCGGCCGTGTACAGTAGTTTTTTTTTTGAATGGTTTGAAATATGGCCACAGTACGTATCATTTCGGTTCACCGTATCACCTATACTACTAGATAGATGTGTGTTTAATTTCCACAGTTCTTGAGGTCTGTTGATTTTCGGGAGATTGTGATTCTTTTTCATGGAAATGAGATTGTAAGTTCTTTTTTATCCTCGTCTTGTTCAGACATTCTATGAGAGTGTCACAACGAGAAAAAGAAGTTCTTCACCGGAAAAAGAGAGGCCGAGATTGCAATCTGTAAAGAGTTTCCATGAAAAGTGTCTAGTACTTTTTTCCGGGAAAAGTGTCCACTTCTTGATCTATGGCCGAGATGAAAACCTGAAATCTATCACTCTCACTACCTCCTGCCTACCCGCAAAGTGAAAATCTTCTTCAGTACTATATATGTTTGATGAGTTTGGAAAACTTGGATTGATAATGACATACATTAATTGCACCGATGTCGTCACACCATAAAAATGAAAAGGGGTGTCTTTGACTGAAATATTCCAAGGTCCTACCGCACATAATAATGCAATTAAACCAAATCACTTCAACCTGGGTTTTGTACTTCTGTCAGCAACCTTACACCTGGCTTCTGCGCTTGAGCAAGATATGGTTGGTTGTTTTCTCGGATGGTTCGGTATCACATTCGGGCCAACAAAAAAAGGTTGCAAAGCCCCTCTCCTCGGACGTCTAATTATTGCATTCGTAATGCCAAGGATAAGGCGCAATTCATTTTCATGAGAACTCTAACACACTTCCTCCACGAAAGAGATACATGGCTTGTGTTGCATGAAATTGTGACGATAATGCCATCAACTTAAACCAACGTAGTCCGCTTCGGTGCCACAAAGTCCATTCAAATGCCCATGCCAAACAATTAATCTTGTATGGTTTTGGATTTGATGAACGCATATTGGTTAGCATGAACTATGGATATAAATTGTTATGCATTTCAAAGGCAGGCTGACCTGAGATATTGTCATGTAATAAGATATGAACTAGAATTGTCGATATTTGCAATTAGAGCAATAAAAACAGTATTGATACTCTGGATGCCAATATTGCCATCATAGAAATCACTACATAGCCGGCCTGGAGCTTTTCACATGGCATACACACAACAACATCCTCGATTTCCTTTTCAATGAGATGGCACAGAAGCAGAAAGGTTGAATCTCATAGATAGAATTCAAAAGTACCAAGCCTATCCTTATAGGAGTTTCATAGTGCATCAACCTTAAGATCATTATTAGTGATGCTTCTATCCTCTTCAGATCATATGCTAGCAATACAGTTAAATTTGAATAATTTAGTAGAAATAGCACCAAAAGTTGTATTCTCATCACCAAGTCTGGCCATCTTATCTTAGCTCTAGACTATACCTGGCCATCTGTCGGCCCGGGCCGGGCTTCGGGCCGGGCCTACCAAAGCCCGATGCAAAAAACCTAGGCCCGAGCCTGGCCTGGCCCGACCGTCGGGCCTAAAAATCAGGCCCGGCCCATCACGCTAAAAGCCCGCCGGGCCTCTTCCTTAAACGACAAATACGACGGGCTTGAGCTCGGCCCAGCCCGGCGACCGGGCCTAAAAATCGGGCCTGAGCCCGACCCATCACGCTAAAAGCCCACTGGGCCTCTTCCTTAAACGAAGAATACGACAGGCCCGAGCCTGGCCCGGCCGTCGGGCTCAAAATCTAGGCCCAGGCCCGGTCCATGGGCAAGGTCGGGTCGGGCCGTCCGGACCGGGCTGCCCATGGCC